ACCTGCCTACCTTCTTCTTCTGACAACTTCTTGATTATTGCCTGTAGATATACCAGTTTTTGTTTAATACCGGCCATAGGTTATCTGTAAAGTTCAGGTTTCCTAGAAACTCCTTAGCACACATTCCCCACTCAACAAGTGTGGAAATCAACGCCTTCAGGTTATAAAGCGATTCTCTTCATTAATTATTCAGCCACTGGAAAGGCATCACTGTTCCGAAATTTCTAACTTCTACCTCAATTCCTCAGTCAATGTTATCAGTAAATATTCATTCCCATATCTGACTTGAAAGATCCCATTGTGATTTCTTTCATTTATAATTGAGCCAACTCAAAAGTACCCAATGAAGGCATTAGGGAAAATTATCTTAATGCCGTGTGTGCTACTGATAAGATTTTTCAGTAGTATAAAAATAGACAATCATCGGCATAAATAAATCATCAAAAAGCAGGGAGATAGATTTGATGTCAGAGAAAGCAAACTATACAGTGTTGCTCGTGAAGATACATATTAGACGTAAAAGGGCTACAAAGGAAGATAATGTGAAGGAAGGGCAGACGAATAGCACAACGTGGCAACTCTTTGCAAATGGTGATTAGGAGATTAGGTGTACATAATTTCGCTATATAGAGATGATACCAAATTTCAAATAAACATTTCTCTACCAAGTATTTCGTCTTCTACCGTGACAATAACATATATGTGAAGAAAATTTCTGAAACCACTGCAAAACAAAAAATACTGAAAAATTCGAGAAATGATGACGTCCATAAATTATCAAAATCACTTCAACGACAGTGAAAGACATTATATTGGTTAGAGTGGATATCTTCACACCCAAGAACATATTTTTATTTATTTATTTTTTTGATTTGAGCTTGATTCCAAACTGTATTTTTGTTACAAGTATTAAATTTTCAGCATGGATATCGGTAGGCCAAATTTTGCAGGCCAACCATAGATATCAGGTGTGTGTCGGCAGGGGATCGAACCTCAGACCATATGCATAGTCGGGGAGAGTCCTAACCACTGTGTCACCGACGCACAAAACTGGGTGAAGTCAAAGGATATGATATCCATCCTGCCATATCAATCAATGCATGCAGGTAATCTTTATAACCTTGGTACTTGAATAAACCTACCTTCAGCAGATACACTGGCACAGATGGCATTCACCAATCAGTAATGAAATGGAAGTCACGTGGACAATAGGTCAACTTCTAGTTCGACAAAGTAATCACCATTAAGAAAACACAAGTGGTCCAGAAAGTGAGAAACAACCAGTCACGGTGGAGGTTATCAGGAGTGCCGGTTGATGATAAATTCATGGAGAATTTAATTCTGAAAACACACTTCAAACTGAAGTATACGCTAAGGATGTTGTCAGGTATATTACAAAACGTTTCTCACACGAAAATAACCTGGAGAATGCTTTGAATTGATGAACATAAACAGTTAAGAGGTTTTTGGTGATTGCAGAATAAGAACTAGAGAATTTTTCCTCTAAAAGAGTAATGATTCCATTATTTCTATAGCTTGGTTTGTAAGGATTAGTTATGTTTTACGGGTTGATCACGGATTGATATCAGTTAGTAGAAAACCATTGAAAACCAGGGAGTACTGGACAGCTGCTGTTTCATCCTAGTTTGGGAATCATCGGCAGTACGCACCCACTGGGATTCGAACCCGGGACCTTCCGGTTACAAGGCAAGCTCGTATACCATTCAGCCACTGGGACCCGATTCAATGGCTCGTGAATTCTAACTTCTACTAATTCATGATTTAGCGCGACCCCAACCATTGTCGTTGGTGGGACATCCATCCACACACGTGATATCTAATTGGACCTCACTGGTCACGACTTCTCACTAGAACTCAGGAAACTCCAACCTGTAGCAAGTCACTAGCGAGCATCAGTGGGTGCGTACTGCCGATGATTCCGAAACTAGGATGAAACAGCAGTTGTCCAGTACTCCCTGGTTTTCAATGGTTCTCTACTAACTGATTCCATTATTGCTTAAGTTACACAGTGTGTTATACAGTAATATTTAATGATGATGACCAGGTTTCGAGCACTCCAATTTATTACTGCAGTTCATAATCATATCAAGATAATCACACAACCCTCTGACTTCATTTATACACATGAGTAAAAATCGGTTAGACATATAAATTAATATAAAGTTTAGTAGACATGCGCGAAACAGAAAGGTGGACAGACAGCCCGCTGTGTCATTTCACCTCTCCGATTCCAGCGAAGAATACGATTGTTATAGTTTGAAGTTTTTGTATTTTTAATATATTTTCCGTGCGTTGAAGTTTCTCTAGCCTCTTTATTCAAGCTTGGGACTGGCTAGAAAACTAACAAGCTGCTTAACTAGGTATGGTTAGCAGTACTGTGAGAATACTAATACTATTACTATTGTTCCCACCACTAGTTATACTAATAATACTTGCATATATATGATAAGGTTAAGACGACATGAATTTTGTGAAAAAAACATTATCTTCTCTATAATGTGCGTCGTTGGCACAACGGTTATGACTCTGGCCGATCATACATATGATCTGGGGTTCGATCCTGGGCCAACCGACGCACTCCTCCCTTACCTCGCTAAGGAAGTAATAGTACTGGCAAAGAGGGAAGGTTGGGCTAAATAAGGCTGGCTGGCAACGTCATCCTGTAAATCGAAAATCACCACCATTTCTAACTTGAAGCCGCCCTATGTTTCACTGGGAACGTAAAGGAATATGTATATATATATTATTATATCCTTTAATTCCTAGAGGAACATAGAGCTTCAGCTGGGCATCTCTATTGCATTCGGTTTACTGCCAACGTTTTCACCCCACTCCAAGTCTGCTCACATGTTTTCATCTCCTCTTCACATGATCTCCTCCAAGTCACCCTTGCACTGAAGACCAACTTGCCGCTTCCCTTTCGGGTTCCACTCGAGTGATGGGTTGTCTAGTGATGTCACTTGATGGTTTGTTTTCTCAGAGTATGGCCGATCCATCTCCATTTCTTCCTGCCTATTTGTTTTACAATCGGTTCCTGCTGGATTGGTTCGCTGATTGCCAGAGATCCCTGTTGCTGATCTTTTCTGGCTGGCCATCTGATCTTGAGTAGTATTGAGCGAAGGCAGCTGTTAATGAAGGTCTGAAGTTTGTTGGAGATGCTCTTTATGACTCGCTAAGTCTCTCATCCGTATATTAAGTAGCACTGACTGACTTCACATTGGAGTTGAAAATCCGGATCTTATTTTTGATGCTGAGTGGTGATGACCTCCACACAGACTTGAGAGTAATAAAAGCTTGTCTTGCTTTTCCGATTCTGACTTTGATATCCTCGTCAGTTTCGTCCGTCTGAAGTTGAAAAGATGCTTCACAGGTCGGTGGGTAGGTGAAAGAGGTTGTTTCTTTCAGATTCTTCCCATTTATGCTGGCTGATTGTTGTCTGTTGTTGTTGCTGTCGGCCAGGAATCTTCATCACCTACCTCTATTTTCTCTATGTTCACCTGAAGTCCTTGCTATCTTTGATGCTTCTTCTGCCAACTTGTTGCTTTTCACTGGCATATCTTCCAGTTTGTGGAAAATCAGAAATATATCATAGGCGAAGTCCAGATCCTCCAAGTCTTTCGTGTGAGTCCATTTTATGCCTGTTTCCTCATTTCCCGTTGTCTGTCGCATTATCCAATCTGCTGCAATCAAGAAGATCATTGGTGATAGTAGACAGCCTTGCCTCATTCCCGTCCTCACTTCGAAGGCTTCCGTAAGTTTCCCGTTGTGGATTACTTGGCATATAGCATTGTCGTATAACTGTTGGATGAGATGTATAATTGTCGATGGCACCCCTTGGTATTAAGTAGCGAAGTAGTTGTCAAATGACCACTTGATCGACGCTGCACTATCGAAGGCCTTTTCAAAGTCGATAAAGTTGAGTGAGGTGGAGAGGTGACTGGCATTCCAAGCTTTGTTCCACGGTGATCCGTAGTGTAGCAATTTGATCAAACAATTCAATAATAACACTTAAAATATCCTATACTATGCTCAAACATAGAAAAAAAAGCGAAAAAAAACCCCAGCAATATTTATGTGCGAATAACAAACATTTGATTGAGCGAACGATTACTTCAGAGCACAACATATTCAATGGCTGAAGAGGAACACAAAGAGAGAGAGAGGGCTTCTGTTATGACGTGTGCTTCGTTTTGTTTTTCTGTTTTTTGTTTATTATTTACAAAAATTTACAAAAACAACTTCAGTATGTGTGCAAAAACAAAAGAAAAATATTAACAATAATAACCGTTAGTATAGTGTTGCTAATCAAAGTTTTTCATAATTGTTTAAAACCATTAAAAAAAGCAAAGCAACAAGCTAAACTTCGATCTTTGATCTATCTTGTTTGCAAATTATCTAGTCTTTATTTTTGAGTTTGATCAAAATATCATATCCTCTGTATGCTTAATAATTAATTATAAGGGATGAAAGATCAACCACTTAACAATAAAACACAAATATTTCGAATAATATTCCAATTTTTTAAAAATGTACTCAAGTTGTTTTCTTACAACTATCCTGTATGTACATATATATATATATATATATATAAACATCGAAATGGACTAAACTGAGTTAGATATCAGCAGTCGCTCACCAACGACAGTCCTTGTAAACCCATGCATCGAAACACCTTGTCTCCTATTACTACCCTGCTTCTTATTCCCTTTATAACATTAGGCTGTGCATTAATTCCAAAACCTTATGAATATAATCAAACGACAAAATTGTGTAGTATTGGTGAAACACTTGAATTTACGCATGAATATCATTCATGTTTTATACTTAAAGAAGCATTGAAACGATTCGATGAACATTTGTCACTTAGAAATACACCAATAATGTCAAATGATACGTCCACATGTGTTATAAGCTCTGTTGCAGTAAATATAGAACAATCGTGTGATGAAAGTGAGAATAAACTTTGGCCATCTGATATGATGGATGAATCATGTGAGTATTTGTGTTTTTATATTCCGTTTACGTTCCCAGTGGTGATTATTTGTTTTTCAACAAGATGGAGTTGATGGCCAGCGTCATTTGGCCCAACTTTCCCTCTTTAGAGAGGTAAAGGAGGAGTGCGTCCATTGGTCGGGGATCGAACCCTGAACCACCTTTTTGATGTGGTCGGTGAACATTTTACCGTTGTACCACTAATGCATTGAATTCATTTCTTTTATTGAACACTAATCAGTGACTAGTGTGATGTGTATATTCCTTCCTTTCTTTCTTTGGTGCAGACTGAATTCTATCAGTCAGTCAGGTTTGTAATGTGGCCACTATACCACTAGGTAGCTCGCCATCTCGTTGCACACATTGATTTGATGATATTAGTTATTATTATTTATTATTGTTCCCTTGGTTCCTAGTGGAACATAGGGCTTCAGCTGCACGTCTTCACTTGCTTCTGTCCTTTGCTGTACTTTTCACCTGCATCCACGTTAGTCCGTACTGTCCATACTCCTCCATATCACCATTGCACTGACGACCCACTCACCACTTCATTTTCGGCCTGGTTTTACTCGAGCAATGAGCTGACGCACGAGCGATGTCTCCCAGCAGTCTCTTCAGCGAGTGTCCAATCCATCTCCACTTTCTCCTGCATATTTATTGGGCGGCGATTGGTTCTTGTTTTGTTTGTTCCCATAGTTCCTTGTTGGTGATTCTTTCCGGGATGATATTAGTTGGTTGGAGGCATTTGGGTATCAGGAAGCCTTGCCTGACCTGGGTTTTATGCTAGTTGGCACCCATCAGCTTGACGTATCCGCAGCCACCTTGAAGGGACTCATGTCTCTCCCTTTGAGATTCGAACCTGCACCACCCACTGAGTACTGCAGTTAGTGAGAGAAGTTACCACTGGGCTACTTGGGCTCTCTATTGACCTTCTAAAGGGCTGATTGTAGTGGATACTTTGACTGGACACTAGTCAATAACTAGTGTGATGTGTCTAGTCCTTCCTTCCTTTCTTTGGTGCAGAATGAATTCTATCAGTCAGTCAGGTTTGGGTTTCATTTTTAACAAGATCTATTCATAGCTCTGTTTTAGCACACCTTGTAGATAGGTTGCATAAGGTTTATGTTAATACAGCACAAAATTATCTATCGCATTTCTACTAATCTTAATTTCGCTCTACGAGTTCGTCTTCTACATACAGCTGAAGCAATAGGAATTCACCTGAAGAGGCCAAACTTGAGTGTACAGAAGAAATTTGTACAGCCACTTTCCTTACCATGGCCATAGTTACATGATTGTACAAACCGGACTACTTCATCCCCCTCCCCCTAAAATTTTTTTAAAAAATTATAAAAACTATAATTGTTGAAATTATTTTATTTTTCTGACTACTTCATCTTTAATTACGTGTTATCCTTGTAAAAATTATTTTATTCTTATGACCACTTCAACTTTAGTTACAAATTGTCATTGTCCAAATTGTTTTATTTTCTTTAACGATCTGTTACGTAATCAACCTGTGCACACACTTATTCCTTAATTGCTCTTCATTCTTCCAAAATTATGCATTATACAATCCACGTGTTGTAACCATTTCCGCCTTTTAATTATATATATTAATTTTCTTCGTTAATTATCACCCCATTGACATTTTGACAATATTGGTAACAAACATATCGACACTTGATTGGTAAATTGTTGTGTATTTTTTTTATTACAGCTTGATTCCACACCGTATTTTTGGTACAGGTATGGAATTTTCATCATGTGGTATCGGTAGCCCAAATCTTGCAGGCCGACCATAGATACCAAGGTGTGCGTCGGCGGGGGATCGAACTCCGGACCATGTGCATGATCGGCGAGAGTCCTAACCACTGTGCCACCGACGTACAAACGTATTGTAATAAAAATGCTATATACATATATACTAGAGTAGAGCCAGAGATGACAATCTAATTGGAAAGTAAATATTTCTTCACTGCTCAATCTTTCTACTTTCTAAATTTCATTTTTTCATGCCTATTTTTCCCTCACTTTCTGTTCCTTTTCATTTTTAGATACATTAAAGATTCTTGAAGGTGGTATGGAAATAGCTGCAAAAGAGATATGGGGTGTATTACACGCCTTAGAAACTATCCTACAATTGACTTATAGAAGTGAATGGGATTCGGTGAGTTGAAATTAATTTTTGGAATCTAACAAAGCTTCTCATTTCATTTCATGTCTTCTTCACTTCGATAGAAGGTGATATATGAAGCTTCTGTAAATGATGTTCCAGCATATTCACATCGTGGAATTATGATTGACACAGCTAGACATTTTCTAAGTGTCTCTGAGATTGAAAAAATCATCGTAAGAAGTCATCGTAGTTATTATGAGTGATATTTACCAAAATAGGATGCAATGTCCATGGTTAAAATGAATGTTCTACATTGGCATGTTACGGATGATGAATCATTCCCGTTTGTAGTGTCAGCTTACCCACAACTATCGGCACAGGTAATATTTTATAACATTTTGATTTCTTAATATATGCATAAATTATTCAGGGTGCTTTTAATCCTCAATTGATGGTCTACCAACATAATGAAGTGTTATCCTTATTAGAGTATGCACGTTTACGGGGTGTACGTGTTATGGCGGAATTTGAGACTCCAGGTAAGTTTTAATTTGGTGTTGTGGACTTTTTTAAGTTTTACCCTGAGTAATTAATTCTTTATACGATCACCAATTATATTTTTGAGTAATTCAACAATGATAAAAGTACCAGAAAGATAATCGAAGGAAAGACAAAGGCAGAACAAACTTCTTTTGCTGTGTGCAAAGATACTAGGGTTGTTCTCTCTGAGATTATCCAGAGCGATAAAACGGACTTATACTACCGCCACCATTTGTATGTCATTTTCCATCTGCCAACCAATTATGATTGCTCAAGTGAAAGACAAGCCACCTACCTGTGCCACTTCTATGTGTATTTATAAATTTAGTTGCTCCTGTGAAGAGAGCTATATAGGGCGAACAAATAGACAGTTTAACAAATGCATTAATGAGCATTTTCCTTCATGGTTCGGAAAAAGTCAAATAAAATCTATAAGAAGTTATATTTTGGCCCATTTGATTGATGATAGTGGTCACCAAGTGGACAAAAATAGTGGCTTCAAAGTTATCTATCGCATTCCATCAAGCCTTTCGGACGGAATCAATCCATTCTTTTACACTTGGCCGAAGCTATGGGTTTTCGAGAGAACAGTCCCACTGTCTTTGCACACGCTTTTCAACTAACATGGTTAACAATAATAAAATAAAGATCATGACAATTACTGAGTTAAATAAAAAACAAAAGTACATACTAATGACCAATCATATTTATTTAGATAGGTCATGTAGTCCAGGTTAGGCAAAGATTGAAGTCTATTTATTTTTTGTGCACACAGTTGAGGCTGTATGTGATGATTAATCCAAAGTGCTTCCATCACCTTCAATAACCAACCTTGAATTACAGTTATGTGATGAAATAATTGTGAAACAGTCATAAATACTGATTGACTTTGTGTCCTGACATTAATAAGTGTTTTGCAATGGATGATGCTGGATTCCTATTCAGATTAATCGCGTTGGGATTTTCTATATGATTTAGTAGTCATTTTGGAACATGTTCTTTTCGACGACCACATTGGAACATTATGTTAGTTCTACCTGTATAAGTGTCACCGCAGCTGCAGGTGAACTTGTAGATACAGTCTGAAGTAGAGTCCACAGAATTTCGTCCTTTAATCGTAGGTATAGGGGTGGAAAATGTTCGTCTACCGTGAACTGACTACATGACTGGTCATTAGTATGTACTTTAGTTTTTCTATTGAACGGAGTAATTGTCATGAACTTTATTTTATCATTGTTAACCATGTTAGTTGTAAAGCGGTTGTAAAGAAAGCTACGAAATGAAGACATCATCTCGCGAAATTTGTCTTCTTAATGCCTTATTCAAATTTACCACATTATTATTATTATTTGAACCACAAAATCGCCCTCACTAGTTAAAATTTTTTATATACAAACCTTTGGTTAAACCTTTTTATGTATAAATCTATGTAAATTAGAGTAAAGCTGAAGAAGATCTAATTGAAAACAACAATATTGTTGGCTTCTGTGCCTTGTTCTAATGATAAATGTACCAGAAAGATAATATGAGCTCATCTTTTATAATTGTTATCATTGAGGATTGTTCTCGCGTTTGACGATACATCGATATCCATAATAAAACACAACAAAATAATTGAGCAAATAAATATCCATTTTCGATAATTTCCTCTTCTGGCACTACAATTATATAACTGCATATGTTAAGACATCATTTTTACCTTTGGCCATCTAGGTTTGAATGATCCTCACTTTATTAAATGGTTGCTGAGTGAAAATGGTAATCCAGAAAAGTTTCTTGATAAGAATATGAATCTAAAATCAAAGCAGCTTAAGGTACCCACAAATTCCTAAGAAATTACAGTTCTTTATTCTTACAAATTCAGTTCCTCAGTGGCGATAACACAACGCCTTAGGAATGCGGTAAAAAGAGCATTCCCTGCTGCTGTCAAATTACGCTGTGTCTTCAAAACCACTCCTTGTTTTGCGTCTGGGAGTAGTTAAAGATAAACTGCGTAATTTCGCCTCTTCTATGTGTATTTACCAGCTTGTCTGTTCCTGTGGAGCCAGTTACATAGGCCGTACAATTAAGCGTGTTTCTTGTCGGATTTCCGAACATTACTACTCTGCATAGTTGTTATGTAAAGGACAAACAAAATCTATTCGTTGCGCTATTCTATCCTATCTTGAGGATATGGAACACAAGATTGATGTTAACCAGGCTTTTAGGCTGTCATTTATCGCATACCTAAGAATCTCAATTTTGCCTTGAGAGTTCGACTTCTAAATATTACTGAGACTGTGTGGGGATCCATAGGAACAAGTCTAATTTATGCATCCAAATAAGTTAGTTCAGACATTATCCTTACTTTGGCCGTCTAGGTTTGAGTGATCCTGAATTTTTGTGGAATTTTCCTAATTTTAGGTGATATTTTATTCGCTACTATATATATCTTTATTATTATTATTATCATTATAATTATAATTTAAGCATCTTTAATGAACTGTAATTGCATTGATCTTACTTCACAAATCGATATTATTTAAAAAAAACTAATATTGTTATTGAATACTAATCTAGAATATTCTATGTATATGAACATGTTTATCTAATTGTAGAGCCAGAAGAGGAAATTATCGAAAAGGATGTTCTTTGCTCAATTATTTTGTATTTTTGTAGATGTCTTAGTGAATATTTATATCGCTAGATTGGCATCCATCAGAGAACCATTGAAAACCAGAGAATACTGAATAGCTGTTTGCGTCTTAGAAAAGGGATAATCGGCAGCACATACATATACTGGGGCGATTGAATAGGGTTCCAATAGCTAAATGGTCAACTAGCTTGCCTTGCAATCGGAAGATCCTGGATTTGAATCCTAGTACTAGTTTTCAATGGTCCTCTAAATGGTATCAATCCTTCCATTATGGGTAAATTTTGCTTTGATAAAGTCTCACAGTGTTATACAGTAATGTTTACTGATGACCAGGTTTCGAGCACAATTCATTGCCACTCATAATCATATCAAGGTAATCACACGACTTCCTAACTTCATTTATATAGTTCCATTGTTTTTCTCTTGATTTTCACTTGATTTCATTGGTAGCGGTATTTTCCATATTTCGGGTATGAGTGATAAATCATTTCAATTGCATGTGTTGGGTGTAGACTCAATGAACAAGGATTCAGTAATCAACCTCACTCTCCAACCACCTACCTAGATTACTTTTTAGAATTTTAACCCTCTCCCACCCTATTATGTGATTGTGTGTTAATGCATGCTGTGCTATTGCTGGATTCTTTTCTAGATTACTAACCTTGGCGAGGACAAACATTTTAACCTTAGCTAAATCCGTATATTCTGATAATCTGACTAAGCCCGATCTACCGCTTTGACCCATGTACCTGACCTCACTCACAGTCATTGGAAAATATTTTGTGAATTATATTATTTTGCTTAAATGGATCCACCGGGTCTTTTAGCCTACAGAGCTTGTCTCTGAGTGAGTTTGTAGATTTTAATGCCACCCGAATTCCTGCTGTATTGAGAATCCTACATAGGGTCTCAGATGTCCCCTCTCTATATGGTATAAATGTAGGTGACTTATATTCTCAAGTATTGGTTTTGTAGGGGTTTTGTTTGATTGTATGGAGGATTTCATCATTTTACTTATATTCTCTCTTACTTATGTTATTATTACTAGTTTCACAATTATATTTCTTTTTCTTTTGGCCTTTTTCAATCTTTCTAATGAATTTTAAAGGATAGTTATTTAACATCAACGCTTCTTCTATCTGTTTCATTTCATCATTTAGGTCTTTTTTCTGCTAATTAGTGACACTGCTCGGTTTGCTAAACACTTAATTAAGCCTGCCTTCATAGTTAACGGATGAGATGAATTTAAGTCTAAATATCTATTAGCAGAATGCGCTGGCTCTTCATAAACACTAGTGTGTAGTTTGCCTTCTTCTATTCGTTTTATTTTACAATCTAACACCATAGCTAGTTCTTCTTGTTTATTTTCCGCTTCAAATGTGAAATTTATTCCCTCCACTAGTGAGTTTATGTGTATATGTGAAGAAGCTAGAGATATGTTCTGTTTTTAACACTAAGAAAGTGCCATCCACATATCTCCACCATATTTTTGGAGAAGGACTAAACGTATTATGAGCCATATTTTCCCAGATATCCATAAATTATATCAATGATATCAATCCTTCGTGATCAAAGTTGAAATAAATCGAATTCTTACAAAACTAACACAAATAAATAACTTTTCACTAGAAATTGGTCAATGGTTCTTTTCAAATAGTTATGAGTTAAATCTCTGCAAACGTCAGGTTAATTTCACTTTCAGATGTATGCGGGACTTAAATCAACTGGTTCTTTCACATGGTTATGGTATTATAGATGGCAGTGAAGTTGAATGCTGAATGCCTTGAATAATCCTATTCCCTGCGATCTTCCTAGGTCTTTCCACAACACGTTATTTTCTAGGATGATAATTCATCTAATCTTCTATACAAGGAAGTTTAGAAAAGCTCGCATCACTAACGCTCTACTTTTAAACTTTGTCAATTCCTGTATTCTAACTATACTTGTGTATTACGCCCACTGCCCCCAACCTACGAATCTTTACTCAGCTATTTAACAAAGACTCCATTATAGGTAAGATTTTATTTTGATAAATTACACAGTGTTATACAGTAATATTAAATGATGACGTTTTGAGCACCATATGCCATAAAAGTAGGGGACCTCTGAGATCTGCCTCTACGTAGAATTCTCAATAAAGTAGGAATTAGACTGGCATTCAAACCTGAAAACTCATTCAGGCAGGAAAAGCTCAGTAGGTTAAAGGACGCTGTAGGTTGACCCAGTTAGACAAAATAATATAATTTACAAAATACCTTGCAATGACTGTAAGTAGGGTCAACTACATAGGTCAAACTAGTAGGTCAGGGGTAGTCAGATTGTCAGAACATAAGAATTCAACTAAGGTAAGAATGATTGACCCCG